AGGAACAGGAGCTGTGCAGCCGTGAGCCTCCGTTCAGGGTCCTGGAACTGTCCGCAAGACGCTGGATTTTAAAAATCAAGCCAGGACACAGTTTATATAATGCAGCCCTAATTCTGAGAAACCCCAAACAAACTCCTGTGTACGTAAGTAAAGGAATGGTCTGCAGCAGGGGTCCCGGCCCCTGGGCGTGGATGGTTCTGGTCTGTGGCCCATGAGGAACCGGGCTGCACAGCAGGCGGTGAGCGGCGGGCGAGCGAAGCTTCATCCGCTCCCCAGCTTCACCGCCTCCGCTCCGCCTCAGCCGTCAGGCGTTAGGTTCTCATGGGAGCACCGGTCCCTGGTGCCAACGAGGTTGGGGACTGCTGGCCACAGAAGTCTGGGTTAATCCTCCTGGGGTGGGGACATGGAGCACTTTCAAGGTCACTTTGTAAGTAGAACAGTCACTTTGTGATTATAAAAAATAAGCCCCTCAAAATCTGTTCTTCAAAGTGGATGGCGGAGGGTTCCCACACGCCCTAACTCAGGGCAGGCACAGCCACACGTCCTGGAGACTCAGCATTGTCATTGGTGAAGATTCACACCCACCTGCACATACCTTACATGCCTGCACACACCCACGCACGCCCGCACACGCCTGTGCATGCCTGCGCACGGCCCTCATGCCAGGGCTAGGCTTCAGCGTCCTGTAGGGTGGGAGAGGACCCTCTTGAGGACCCACACTCGTTCCTCCCAATGCCTTTGAGTCTTGGGGCTGGGCCCAGGGGAGGCTCTGCACCGTGCTGCACACCCCCTCAGGCTCAGGCCCGCGGCCTCTCCCTGAACTCCCATCAAACCCCCAGCTCTGTGGCACCCGCAGCTCCCCCACTGGGCCAGACTTGGGGGTCTTAAGCTGCTGCGGGGCTGCCGCCACTTCAACGTCTGGCCGCACACTTTTCAATAAGAAGGACATTAACCTCGCGACACACACTCCACCCTCACAGAGAGCTTGCTGCCTGCGGGGCCGCGAGTGGACAGGCCATGCTGCGGGGGTCCAAGGCCCCTGGCCGGCTTTGACCCTCCTCCGAGAGACTGGTCCTCCGGGACTCAGGGTGGACCCCTGGCCCTCTGGTCCCCAAGCTCCCAGCACAGCGTCTCCAGCTTCCTGTCTCGCCCTGGGAAGTTCTGGAGATGACGGCGGTGAAGGCTGCACACCCTGTGTGCCCTTCGTGCCGCTGAACTGTGCACTTAACAGTGGTCAGGACGGTAAAGCTCATGTGTGCGTATTTTACCACAATAAGAGATGTGTAACGTATGTGTAACCCTGTGTATGCACACGCGCACACACTCATACACACACGAACACACGGCTTCAGCTACTCTGGCGTATTCACCGGTGGTTGGCGGGCCAGCTCTGGGAGGTGACTTGCCACTCGCCCGTGGCTTCCCGGTCCCCAGAAGGGGCGGCAGCTCTCTCACAGCGGAGCAGAGGTTAAAGCACGCGCCGCCCTCCCAGCTGGGCTGCGTGCCACACAATGGGGTCATTCAGCCGCTCTGCCTGCTCCGCTCCCTCCCCGTGAGCCCGCCTGCCCCCCTGCCTCCTGCCACCCCCCCACCCCCCACTCCCGCTGCCGTGGGGGGCCGTGTCACACCCTCCCCACCTCCCCGCTCCCACGCTTCCTCTGGCCCTCCGCCACACACGCCTACTTCCCCGGAGTCTTGATTTGGGGGACAGTGGGAGCTAGCCTAAAGGGGGAGACACTTTCCCGGCCGTGGCCCTCTGCTGTCGCCTCGGGTCTCCGCACTGGTGGCATCCACGGGGTTCGTCGCGCGTATTCCCCAAACGCATCGCCATCTTTCCACAAGGCGCATGCTTGGTGTGTCACCGCGCCTCGGTGCCAGGACCCCGGACTGTCTTCCTGCATTCCTGGGACGTGACACCACCTCGCTGCAGCCTGCTGTGCTCGGCCAGATGTGTGTGGAGCTGGACAGACACTGCAGGCAGAGCCAGAGGCTGGCGGGGCAAGGGGTCCGCCTGAATCCACCAGCAGGAGCTCGTGTTAGGACCCAGCCCCCTGGGCATTGTCTCTAGAGCCCTGGATGACCGCCCAGCCTCCTGCTCTGCAGAAGGGAGGCCTCACTAGGTCTGAGGTCGGTCCTTCCTGCCAGCCAGGCTCAGCCAGTGGTTTCCTGGGGCTCGTGAGGTGCAGCAGAGGGTAAAACCCTCAAGGCCCGGGCTGCAGGTGACTGCACCTCCTGTGAGCATCTACTCCGCTCCATGAGCCTCATCCCTTGGCTGCTGCACACGCACGCACACATTCTCACACTCACACTCATGCTCACTCACCCACACCACTGACACGGGCACACACTCATGCTCACACCCACCCACTCACACACACTCATGGTCACTCATCCACACCCACTCACACATGCTCACACACACACACTCACACACATACACACTCATGCACACACATACACCCACTCACATGTGCACACACTCATGCTCACTCACCCACACCCACTCACACATGCACATACTCATGCTCACACATACACACTCACACAGACTCATACTCACCCACACCCACGGTCACACGTGCACACACTCGTGGTCACACACACTCTTGCTCACCCACAAACACACACACACGCACACATACATACCCAGACACACTCCCGTGTGCACACTCATGCTCACAGGCATACGTTCACACACACATTCACACTCATGCACACTCATGCACACTCCTCCCCCGTGCCACACCCCGGTCAGGCTCCCTCCCGCCGGTCCCCATGGGTCTCAGTGCCCTGGGCCTCACCAACTATGGCCACAGGAAGCAGCGGCGAGAAGGGCCCGGGGACGGGGCAGTGCCAGGCCGCAGCGGCCGCCTGCCCAGGAGCCTGTCCCGGTTCTCGTGGAGGTGGCACCGACAGCCCAGCCAGCCGGTTCCCACCATGCGGGCCTGGACTGCGCCGTTCAACAGTTATTGAGATGGACGCCTCTGTGTCAGCTATAGCTCCAATGATGGGCTCCCCAGCCCCAGCGGTGGGACGACCGGCCTTCTCCCGGGCCCCTCATGTGGCCAGACTCAGCCCTGTCTTCCCCAGGAGGGCACAGCCAGGAGCACAGCCAGGGAGCGGGTCTGAGAGTCGAGCCCCGCAGCCCCGGCGAGATGCGCAGCTGTGCTGTGCCAGGTGCGCCCTGCAGCCAGCTTTCCATCCGGCACCCAGGGAGCAGAGCCAGGAAGGGCAAGGCCTTACACAGCCGTCTCCCTCTGTGGACAAGGACACAGAACTCCTGAGGACACTAGAAGTGACCTAGTAGGACCAAAGTCACAGGGACCATGGATGGGTGAGCCAAGACCCACTCCATCCCCATGATTCCCCAGCATTCCTCAGCCTTGCACGTACACGCACACCCACGGATAAACATACAGAACATGCATGCAACTGCACACACAGACCTCCATACAGCAATTTCTGTTTATGGAGGCCTGTTCATTCCTAAAGCGTTGGCACAGGGTGGCACAGCCAGGACCAAGGCCTGTGCTGCAGACTCAGATCTGGAGCCTCCCCCTGCTCTGTCTAGCTGGAGGCCCAGGGTCAGGTCAAGATGAGTGCATGTGTGCACCCACATGTACACATGTGAGCACTGTGTGTGCATGCGTGAGCATGTGCGGTATATATCTGTGTGCGCATGTGCGAGCATGCATGCATGTGTCTGCATGCATGGTGTGGGCATGCATACATGTGTGAACATGTGGGCACACACATGCACATGTGTGATCATGTATGTGTTGTGTGCAAGTGTGTGTGAACATGGTGGCATATGTCGTATCTGTGTTAGCATGTATGTGTGTGTTGTGCATGTGTGCGCATGTGTGAGTACTGTGTGTGCATGTGTGTTGTGTAGCTGTGTGTGCATGTGCGAGCGTTATATGTGTGTATGTATGCATGGTATGGGCATGTATACATGTGCAGGCACGTGGGCATGCTCATGTACATGCGTGAACATTGTGCATGTGTTTTGTGTGTGCGCATGTGAGCATGTGTGTGCATATGCATGGTGGTGCATGTGTGCGTGTGTGCGCATGTGTGCATGCACATGTACATGTGTGAGCGCTGTGTGCATGTGTGCGTCTGTGTGTGCATGGTGTGGGCATGTATACATGCGAGCATGTGTATATGCGTGCATGCATGTGTCCATGTGTGTGTGTTGTTTGCGTGCATATCTGTATATGTGTACCTATTCATACATCTGTGTGTGCATTTGTAGCTGTGTGCATATGTACACTGTGCATGTGTGTATGCATTCTGTGTACATGCCCTTATGTGCATATGTATGTGTGTGCATGCATATCTGTGAGCACATGTGCATGCATTCGTACGTTTCCATGCGTGGGCTTGTGTGCATGTAAGCACATGTGCATGTGTCTGAGCACTTACCTGTGTGCGTGTGTTTGCACGTGCATGTCTGTCCTTGCTCCCACCTCCTCGTTTCACCCACTCCCCTGTGACGTGAGTGACGAGCTGCCTCTGCTGCTGCCTTATCTGTGTGGCCGTGGGCACTGACCACACCGGCTGCATGTGCTTCTGACGATCGAATCAGACTTTCCCAGCCTGTTTGGAGATGAAGGTCCCAATTCACAGCATGAGGAGACCCACCCCCTCGTGAAAATTAGAAAGTTGCTCGCTTATTTACAACCGAGAAGCTGGGCATCTCAAAGCCTGGCTTCGTGAGCAGAAATGGCCAGTGGGGAAAAAGCGAACCTTAGCTCAGCCCTCTGGCCTCTGACTTTCCTCGTCTTGGGGAAGTCTGAGCAGCACAAGGAGCAGGAGAGGCTGCCATCCAGGGCCAGATGGGGATGGGCGGGAAGTCCCAGGTGCTGGCCCTTCCTGTTAAGAGTCTCAAGCCAGCCTGTGTCCTGGTCCAGCATGGGCCCCCGGGGCAGGGCCAGTGGAGCCCAGGCAGAGACCACCCTTTGTGTGTGGCCTGCAGACAGGAGAGGGTGACGGGGAGAAGGCTCAGGCCGCTTTAGCTCATGCGGGACCCAGAGCAGCCACCTGAGGGGAAGGGGCCTGAGCACCGGGTAGAGACGGAGCCACCCAAGGGTGTTGCTGAGGGCGACTCAGGACAGGTGAGCCAGGAAATAGGAGGCACAGTGAACCGAAAGGCAGCAGGTTCCAATGCGGCCTCGTCAGCCAAGGGGGAGGAACGCCTGAGAGGAAAGGCACATGGGGTGCAAGCCAAGGAGGGACCACACCTGCTCTGCGGTCCCCACCTGCGGCGATGAGGTCAGGCTCCTAGCCGAGGTTCCGACGAAAGTCACCAGCATGTTGTCTGAGGGTGCACGCAGGCACATGCACAGCCTCGGGGGAATCCACCAGCGCCAGCGCCAACCAGGGGCCCCACCAAGCCCCCTTGACCCTGGGTGAGAAGGTACCTGGGTATGTTCATCTCCTGCAGCTGCTCAAATTCCCACAAACTCACTGTGCTCAGAACAGCTCGTTTGTTGCACACAGTTCTGAGGTCGCGCCTGACCCGAGTCACTGGCCAGAACGAAGGTGTCCTGGACCCATTCCTCCTGAGGACCGGGGAGACCTGTCCCCAGCTTTCCAACTTCCCTCAGTCTGTGGCCCGACGTCATCTTCATGGCCACAGCTCAGGCTGAGTCCTTCGCACACTTCTCCCTCTCCTGCCTCCCTCTCCAGGTGATCAGAATACTCTCCGCATCTGATGGGCGGCTTTCATCCCCACGTTTGTCACACGAGGTGATAATATTCACCTGTTCCAGGGGGCAGGATGGGGACATCTCTGGGGCCCATCATCCTGCCATCCACAGCGGGTACAGGCAGGCCATGACCAGGTGACAGACAAGATATGGACCACATCCACGGAAACGTGGCCCGCCCGGGCAGGAGTTACAGAAAGGCCTAGTCACATGGCCAAGTGACAGGGAACCACAGCTGACGCTGGCTGAGAGTCACTTGGTGACTTGTCCCTTCCCTGGCCCGCCCACCCCATCCCCCAGGCCTCCCAGATACTAGCCGAAACCCCCTCATCCAGGCCTGGCTCAGACTGCACCCCACCCCCCCACTCTGCAGCACCACCTCACACCAGGGTGGTCCAGGGCTGGAGCTGGGGGACACCCCCAGGGAGAGGGGGACTCTAGGCCCCCAATTCTTGCCCAGCAAAGAAACTGAGGGCCCAGGGCTGACAGGGCGTGTTGGGCCAGCCAGCCTGGCCTGGGGTGTCCGCTAGGGGCCCTTGCCACCAGAGCCCCAGATGGGGACACCCACCTGGTCTGAGGTTCCCCTGGGTCCCAGCTGAACACGTGGGTGGGTGTGGATGCTGGCCAGATCCAAGATGAGCACATGGCCCCCACACCTGTGGTCTCTCCCACCTTGGCTCCTCCAGGCCTGTGCCTGATGCAAGATACAAGGCCCAGGGTATGACAGGAGGCCTTGGATGGGGCACAGGTGGTCAGGATAGGTAGAGTGGGCACCCCTGAGCATGGGGGCCCTAAGCCGCTGGGGCATCCAGGCCAGCGGGAGGAGAGGGCCAGTGCCAGGGCCCCTGCCCGCATGCTCTCTGGGGAGCGCAGAGGAAGGAAGAGCCCAGGCTGCCCAGCACAGGACAGTGGTCAGTAAGTGGGGGCTGCCCGCAAGTGCCGCAGACTGCGGGAGCTCAGAGTGCTGCTCCTGATCACGGCTCGCTGGCAGGTCCAAGCCTGGGCTCTCTCCCCCAGCGCGGTCGCGCAAACTGGCAAGAACAGGGTCTCCGAGCCCTGAGGCCAGGGCACTCCAGGTCCGCCAGGTGGGCCTGTTTCTGGGGCTGGCCGGGGCCTTGGCTGACCTGCGTAGCGTCCGGGCCTGGGGCGAGCTGGGGAAACGCACAGGAGCTGAGGTCTCACTCCCCACAGCCCGGCAGTGAAGGGAAACTTCCTGGGGGGCATGGGGGTGTGCAGGCTGGCAGGAGAAGGGGCCAGGGCAGTGGGCCAGAACCTGGGGGTTCCTACGTGCCTCCCTTTAACCTCTAGACGGACCACAGCTCCGCCCCACGGTGACACAAGCCACGGGGAGCCGGAAGTACTCAGAGACCTTCCAGGGGCCTCGCCTGGTCCCTCTGGGCTCCACAGCATGGGGCCTCCCCTAGGACAGACGCAGGCCGGCAGGAGTTCTGCTGGGTGTGCAGTGGCCCAAGACGCCCACATGAGGCTCTGAGCAGCAGGTAGTGGCCTCTCTAGCCCTCCCGACACGGAGTGGCCCCGCCCCGCTGGGATGCTGCTCAGCTCACAGGCCAGGGGAACAGGTTGCTGCGCACCCTCCACTTGGCCTAGACCCTCTTTGTCAAACCCGCCCTCTCCTCCAGCCCCGCCCTATCTGGCAAGCTCTGTTCTCCAGGTAGACTCCCACTGTGAAGCCTGCAGCCCAGGCCAGGGCTGCCCAGACACTTGGCCTCACGTGGAGTGACCCCGCTGTCCAGCCCTGACGTCAGCACGTGGTCGCCAGGTCTCATCAGAGCCCCTCACCCCTGCACTGAGCTGGGGAGGAACTCAGCCGAAACTGAAACCCGACATTCTGGTTCTGCAGCCTGCTCAGCGACAGCCAGCAGGGTGGAGCCAGCAGAGCCTCAGAGCTGGAGCCAGGTGCAGGCCTGCCCTCCCCACGGAGAGCGCACCATCACCAGCCAGCTGCTTTAGGTCATTGTCCTGCTGCTTGTTGTGACCTGTAGGAGCCCTCAGACCTGAGCCAGCACACACCTGAGCCCAGGCACTTTCGGCGACACACATCCGAGCCAGTGCATACCTGTGTTGGCTCACACTCGAGCCAGCACACACCTGAGCGAGTGCACACCTGTTGGCTCACACCTGTGCCAGAGCACACCTGTGTCAGTTCACACCTGAGTTGACGCACACCTGTTATTTCACACGAGTTGGCCACAGCACCTGCCTGTGACCACATGGTACGCCCAAGTCTTCTATCCAGCTGCTGTGATGCTCACTGGACAGTGTGGGCCTCTCCCAGGTCGCCCTTGGGAGAAATCACCTGATTCATAGGTGACAAAGGCTCAGGTCTGATTATGTGACACCCCAGTGTCCCAAGTTTGTATCTATTCCGAACCTGTGGATGTGAGCATATCTGGAAACAAAGTCGAGGGCATTAGGGTGGCCCTTATCCAGGGACCAGCGTCCTCATGAGAGAGGAATTTGGACACAGGACACACAGAGAGGACAGGGTCTTGTGACACTGACAGTGGAGCCTGGAGAAAGGCACCTACAGGCCAGGGGACACCGAGGACGGCCAGCGGCCACCAGAAGCTGGAAGAGGCAGGAAGTGCCCTCCCTGACGCCTGGGCAGGAGCGTGGCCAGCGACCCCTGGACTCCGGCTCCACGGTGTGAGAGGACACATGACCTGTTGGAGGCCCTGGTTTGGGTCATGTTATGGCAGGCACAGGACACTAACCCATCCTCGAGGACGTGGGGTCACTGAACAGCCCTGGGTGTCCAGAGATTTGCTGTGGGCTCAGACACAGGGAAGTGGGGTCAAGGGCAGGGCCTGGGGTAGCAGGGTAGCTGGGGTGGCCGTGCAGCGTTCCCGGGGTGCGGGGTGACGTCGCACTCAGAGCTGGCCCCGTGTGGGCTCCCTCTGGTGTGCACCGGCCCCAGCCCAGCTCGTGCACACCGGCCGGGCCGTGGACACCGTGCTGCTGGTCCAGCAGGCGCTGGTTTTTCCTTCTGCAGGGAGACGGCCTGCACCCCCGAGCATGGCTGGCAAAGCACATTCTTTAAAAAGCGAAAACAAAACGAGAAAAACCGAAGTGTTGGGCTCCATAAATCTCCATCGTAAGCAGCATCTTTGGGTGGTTCTCGAGCTGTGCGCAAAGCCTGGCGTGGGCATCCACCACGGACCCCAGCACGTCACCCTGCGCGCCAGCCCAGCCAGTGGCCTCGACGCTTCAGAAGACAGCACGAGGGGCCACACGAAAGTGTTTCAAGACGCGAGAGTTTGTTTCCTGTGGGCATTTCTTTTTAAAAAATATATAATAACTTAGTTTGCATTTTACAGCATTTCCGACCAGTCGGTCAGGGACCTCGTGCGAGCGACGAGGCCTGAGTGCCGGAGTCCGCCGTGTGGGCCCCGCGGTCACTCCACGCCCATCTCGCAGGGGTTCAGGCCCCGCCCCTCGGCGTCCCTGTACACCCTTCTGAAGTCCTCGAAGCGTGGGGCGCAGCCAAGCCGGGCCTCCCCGAAGTGCATGTGGCCGGCGAAGAGGAACTCGCCAGGCCCCGGCCTCGCGCCGCACTCCAGCAGTGTGGTGACGCGGCCGCGCCAGCCGCCGCCCTCGCCCGCGGGGGCCGGCCGGAAGACCCTGTTCTTCTGCCGGTACAGCCGGCTCACGCGCAGGTGGATGGCTGACTCCTGCCGCTCGGGTTCGTGGGTGACGTTCTGGATGGTGCCTCGGACAACTGCAGAGGGAAGGAGACAGGGTTGGCGAGGTCCGCAGGGTGCCCACTGAGTGGATGGCACGTGTCCGTGCTGGCAGCGGGCGGGGGTGGAAGGGAGCCGACCCTGACTCTGCATCCAGAGATTGTCACTGAAGGGCACAGGGCGCCCAGGAGGCAGCCTCACCCGTGGGCAGACACGGGAGAAACACAACACACCCGGCATCGGCTCTTCAAGACAGGACGAGGAAAGTAACCACAAGCAACGCCCCGGGTCTGTGTCAGGATGGGACACACTCGAAGCTCAGAGGTGGCCGCGGGGTCGGGGCAGGGCGGGGCCGGGTGGGGCCAGGACGCAGAAGGCCAGGGGGCGGCCTGCATGTCCTCCAAGAAACTGTCCTTGGGCGGGGGCTTTCAGCCGGCCAACTCCCTGGCAGCAACCCTGCTGAGGGCGTCCACCTTTCATACCAGAGCTTGTGCCAACGTCACGGTGGGCGGCTGGGTCCCAGGCCCGCGAGAGGCCTGGCGAGGGCCGGGCTCTGGGGTGACCTCAGTGCAAACTGGGAAATGCCCAGGGATCACCTTGAACAGGACCCCAACCCTCACCCTTTCCTTGGGCTGGAGCCCCTCGAGGTGCGCACCCCGGGACAGGGTGGGAGGGGTACTAAGCCCCGTGCTGTCCGCAGCCCCCACCCTCGAGAGTTTAGCGCCAGCACATTCTCCCGGCCCCAGGGGACCCCTCCGTGGCGGAACCACGAGCACTCACCGAAGTCGCTGGTGCAGACGGCCAGGAGCACCTCGGTGTCACTGCAAGGGCGGCAGGGGGCTGCAGGGAGACAGCCGGGGCGTCAGGCAGGGCTGTGCCGTGGGGCCTCCAGGCGCCCTCTGCCCCTCGGGGGGAGACGGAGCAGGGAGCGCCAGGCCGCTGGGCAACACGCGCCGGGCGTGCGCTGCGACTCGGCCTTAGGGCCGGCTCTGCACTGTCCCTGTTCCACTGGTTCTCGGCGCCTGGCACCAGCGCAGGCCAGCCCGAGCTGAGGAGCCACGTCCCTTACACCGGCCGGCCCAGGCACCCTCTCAACCGCTTCCACATCCACACCCCAAAGTGCAGGGCCACCCACTCGCCCATCGCCTGCTCCCCAGGCCCCCACTGTCTCCACTCTGGAGAGGGCTGAGGCTCCAGCTGGGGAGGCCAGTGAGGCCACACGCTTCGGGCTTTGGTGACCTGAGACACACAGCCGCCTACTGCCGCCTGGGCCCTCGTGAGACCCCTGGGGCAGTGGGAGCCCCGCCCCAGACCGCTGGGCCCTGGACGGCTAATGTCCCTAAACACCTCTGGAGGCCTCTGCAGTCAGCCCAGCTCACGGAAGCCCAGGGGACGCCCAACCTGGGGCCGGCTTCCCAGCCACCCACACAGGGGTTGTGGGGGACAGAAACGGGGGCACTGTGGGCCATCAGGGTGGACTGAGTGTCCAGACCCCTGAGCTGTCATCCGGCCCCAGACTAGGTGGGTGCGGCATCGCTGTACAGCCGCCCGGCTCCGACCACGTCACCGGAGGAGGAGTGACCTGCCCATCCAGCTCCAGGTCCTCGGCCTCCGCCCACCTGCCTTTGTTTGCACGGGTGGACCCCCCGCCTTGGGGCCGCTCTTAGAGGGTGGCTAACAGGGGTCCCCCATCCTTCTCGTCACTGGGGACCAGCTACCCATGGCAGCCTGATGGAGGCCACCGCACAGTGGACTCGGGACCAAGGGGCACACAGTACCGCGGGCATCGGAGCGGTCATGTTCCACTTAGAGATGGCATTTTATTCTGGCCTGTGTGCAAGGGGCGCGAGGCAGAGGCCTGACCCCCATCCTGTGGGACTCCAGTTGCGTGGGGTCACAGGCCCAGGGTCCCTCTGCAGGAGGGGGTGGCCTCAGCAGCTCAGTGACCACAGCCCACCTTCGGGCTCCCCCACAGAGCAGCCCCGGGGCCCTGGGGGGCCAGGCGTGCAGGTGCCAAGTGCAGGGGGGGTGGGAGGTGAGGTCTGCAAGAACTCCCCAGATGTGCCTCAGGCTCCAGGCTGTCTGAGACAGGCCAGGGGACAGCCCGCAAATGCCCAGGCCACACACCATGGCGGGGGCCCAGGCTTGGGCGTAACTGACCCAGCCTAGAACTGTGCCCCGTGTCCCGTGTCCTGGGTCCTGGTCTGGCTAGGAGAGAGGTGGCCCGGGGAGCTGGTCAGCAGCCTGCAGACCCTCCCGCCAGAAGCCTCAGTGAGCTGACCCGTCCGCGGCTGAGCTAACGAGGCATCCCCAGAGGTCCTTGCTCACAGTCCGAGGGTGCCGCATGGAAAATCCAGCTTGTGGTGCCCGGAGAAGCAGTCTGGAAGCAATTATTCATCGGAATCGGACCCGTAACGGCTGTGGAATGCGCTGGCTGCGGACACACGAGCCTCCCTTCCTCACGGGGAAGGCGGGGAGGGGGCGGCCAGTGAGCTGGTTGGAATTCTGGCCTGAGTTTCTGGGGGAGGGGAGGGCCAGGGTGTGGACGTCCCAGGAAGATGACTCTGGAACGTGCATAAAAGGAACCAAAGGAAGGAGAAAATGACAGGTCAGGGAGCCGGGCCAGGGGCCACCACAGGGATGCAGGTGAGGGCACAGGTGCAGGCAGGGGGCAGGGGAAGCCAGCCTGACGGCCCTCGGCACAGGAGGGCTTCACAGGTGGCTGGACGCTGCTGTCCGAGGACAGCTCGCTGGGCGTGCACACGGTCCGGAGGGAACGCTGTGTGTGAGGACACTGGCCGGGGGTGGCTGGTGACAGGAGGGAGATGCAGAGTTTTAACAGGGAGCAGAGGGAAGGGGGCAGCAAGGCTGGACGCAGCCAGTGTCAGCTGAGACGGAGCCAGAGCTACGGTCAGGGTTCTCCCACTGTCAGAACACCGCCGCACGCGCCCCAGACTCCGGGCCCCGGACGACCTGCGGGCGGGTGACCCCGGCCTCCCCGCTGCCCTCCCTCCCTCCTCCTGGTGTGGAAGCCGGCGGGGGCCACACCCTTCCACCCCAAGGTCCGGAGACGGGTGAGACGACAAACGGCGACGCGGTAATTACAGTGGCCAGAGAAGCCGCCGTGCGGGACAAACCCTGGAAAAATAAGGTTCTCCTTGTCTGTCTCCAGTGGGTTTCTTTTTACTTCTGGACTTGGCTACTGACCCCCATGGCCACCGAGGCCACCCCAGACTGAGGTGCCCTGGGGGCTCCTCGGCAGGGACTCTGTCCCCTCCGGGCCCCACCCGTCAAACAGCAGGCTTTAAAGGGGACAGGGAGATGAAGCCACCAGCACCTGTGGGACCCTGGCCGCCCGCCACCACGGGTGCCCACACACCTGCAACGGGGGGACACCCCTGCATTCGCAGCCAGGACGGGCCCGTCCCTCTGCCCTCGCCCCCAAACCGTGGATGTCATCGGTGGCCGTCACCAGGCCTGCTCATGTGGCAGCTGTCACTGGCATCACGCAGAGCGGGGACGTGGCTGAGGGGAGCCCCTGCTACTCGCCCCCGAGTGGTGAAAAGACAGAGTGGGACCCACGCCACCTGGGCTGCCCAGCGAACCAAGGGGTGCCCCTGTACCCCAGCAGCAGACAGCAACCCCACACTCCTTGCTGGCCATCCCCACGGCCCCCAGCCCTCTGGGCAGTGGTGCCCGTCTCTGAATGTGCCAGGACCCCAGGCAGGACAGTGCCCCTGACAGGTGGCAGGTTCCGGCACAGACCTCGGCACACGTCCCAGGCGTGGCCTCGTCGGCTGTATCTGCTCCCTCATCCCTGTCCTGCCAGGTCTCTTGAAGAGGTGCCCATGTCATTCAGGTGCCAAGGGGCCCACGGAGGAGTCGGGGGAGGCGGGTCCCCTCCATCTGCTGTGTGGCAGCCAAACCCAACAACCCTGGGCTGGCATCACCTCCCGCCCCCTGGAGGAGGAGGCGTGTCCGCCCCCAACAGGCAGGCTCACTGCTGCCCGGGCCAGGGCATCTTCCCCTCGAAGTCCTGGTGTCAGCTCACTGGGCTTCTGGCAGCGGCAGCCAGAGCCAGGACAAGACAGAGCCATCTGAGAGCCCTCGGCCCCGGGCCTCGCTGCTGCAGGTGGCCAGGCTGACATGACACATAGTACACCCATTCCTTCGGCATTAAGGGCTTAGGGGCTCCGCCCTGATGGAGGGGAATGCGGGAGGGACGCACGGCCCCAGGACAGGATGTGGGTGCCCTGCTCATTCCCGGTTCTCCGGAAGCTCAGGCACTCCTGAGTCCCCGTCTTGGCCCTAACAGTCACTGTGTGTCTGTGTGGCTCCAGACCCCAGCCACTGGTCACATGGGTGCTCGCACCACCTGCTGAGGCCCTAGATTTAGCAGACACCCCAGGGTTGGGAGGGTGTGTGTGAGGTGACAAGGGACCCCCTGACACTTCCCTCACAAAAGTCTTGGCCAGCCCAGACGCTCAACGCACAGCCGTGGCCACTCAGCCAGTGGGGGTCCCAGGAGGTGCATGGGGAGGGGCGGAGGGAGCACAGGCGGTGATCGGATGACCCGCCCCCATCACGGGGGCCTGCAACCCCACAAGAGCCCAGGGCAGCTCAACCACCAACCCCACAGACCTGGAAACGTGGGCTTGGGGGCTGAGGGGCACTAGGCCTGCCCCCAGGGAGGATAGAACCCGAGCACTGGGCCCGGCTCCAAGCCAGCCAGCTTGTGAGTGACACTGTGGACTGTCCACCAGAAAGTCCAGCCTCTGCAGGGGAGTGTAAGGTGTGCAGTGGGAGAGCTGACGCCCACACCTGTGAGAACCTCAGGGCGCGGGTGGGCCAGCGGCCTGAGGTCTGAGCCCCATCTACACGCTAATCAGTAAAAGGACGGTTCGCAAGTTCCTAACACCTGCTCCAGCCAGCGCGTGGCGTCTGTGGCTGGGCTTCCCATACCCTGTTTTCACCTCAGGCTCACCTCCAGGGCCCAGAGGGGTCCCCCACCCGCTCTCCCACCCATGCTCCCCACTGGTGATCAAGATAAAGGGTAGTTGTGGTAAATTCTACTGGGTCCTGAGCGTCACGGCAGCTTCCAGTGCCACCTGGCTGAGCGGTCCCACCTGGGCAGTCAGCACCTGAGGGTGGGGCCACATCCCTGCGGTCCTATGCTGAGCTCTCTACCAGACCAGTTTAGTTTGAGAGAGATTTAAAGTTTTGAAAACCGATCTAAGCCAAGAACACAAAACAATAAAACATGGGTTCATGGTCAGGAGGAAACTCTACATTTCAAACCCTACCAGGTCCGGCTTTCCCCAATCAAGTCTGCTATTCATGAACTTGTGGAGATGGTACTATTTTCAAGGATGGCCCACCCCTGAAAGCAGGTGTTGGCACCTGGGCACTGCTGACAAGTGGGGCCAGGTCATGACTGTGTAGGGACCCTGTGCTGACAGGGTGCTCTCCATGTCGGGGACCTATGCATCATGGGGCATTAACATCCCTGCCTCCCACCATTGTCCTGGTCAGTCACCTGCGGAACAATTTTCTTAGACGCTGCCCCCGGAACACCCCAAGCTCACGCAGCCCCTGGAAAGCACCCTGGTCCCAGCTAGAGAGAGCACCGTGGGCCCGCTGGCCCTGCCCCATACATTCAGGCGGTGCAATGTCGTCTGCGCCTCGGAGTGAGGGCAGAGCCTGGCCTGGGTGTCCCTCAAGGTGCTGACTCAAGGCACAGGGGCCGAGACCCACCCTGAGCGAGGGCTCCTGGGGCCACCGGCTCCTGCCCGGTCTCTGCTCACGTGCTTTCCCGGCACCGACCCGCATGCTCACAGGGCCCTGCAGAGCTGCCTGCTTCCCCAAAGACAACGAAAAGAAAATCCAAGGCCAACTCGCCAGCTTCACTCGCTCGCACCTCCGTGGCCAAAAGGTCCTCCAGAACCCCGGTTCCCAGGTCATCAGAGCCCCTGCGACATAGGTGCTGGCCCCAGGGGCCGACCACCTGGGGCCTGCTCCGGGCATCCTGCTGGGTTCTCCCTCCACTCCGCACCGGGGTGGCAGGTCCCCCCTACCAACAGCTACTCACAACATGCCTCCAGAACGCAACACCCGCCCCACGCTTCACCCCTGGACGCGGATCAGCCTCCGTCCCCCCTAAACCTGATGTTCCAGGGGAGGAGCCGGTGCCAGGAACACCTCTGCCAAGGGGGTGGTGGAGGGGAGGCTGGGGCGCTCTGAACCGTAACAGTACCCACTTCAGATCACGTCACGACCGGTTCACGGGAGATGGGCTCATGGGAGCAAGGACCACGACCTGTCCGGCTCTGCCCTGACCCGCAGCCACTAACGGGACAGCCGTCACCCTCTGCAAACACACTTCTCGGAGACAAACATGCGTGGCAAAGTCTCAAATGCGCACAGAACAGAGGGGACGCCACGCGTCTGACACGGCGACACCACGGGTCCCGCTCCGCCAGACCCACCGGGTCCGAGGCACACACCGGAGGGGCGTCTGCAGAGGCTGTGCTGCGGGGCGGGGATCAGTCCGGCAAAAGAGGCCGGAGGCTCCGGGCGCCCACTCACCCGACGG